TCACATGACTTCTTGGAATGGGTTACAGTAAAGTTTGTGCAGTGTGTTGTACATCAGGTCACTGGAAGTTTTTTCCAAGTCCTGATATTGTAAACATCGGGTGTGAAATGCTTTTATGATAAACAGCAGATTACAAAATGAACTTTGTAGCAAGCTTCATTGCATAGCAACAGGAATCACAGAGTTCTCAGTAGAACAGAGCCAAGACCTTCAAGTTAAGAAGACAATGGACACAATACATGTGGGTGTTTACTGAGAAAAGGTACTGTGTACACAGGACAGCACTGGGAGAGATGAACGGGAGAGCATGAAGACTCATTTGATTCAGTTACTGCCCTAACAGTATTTATGATAATGGTAAAATGGACTATCTGGAGAGTGGAAGAGTAGAAGAAGGCAAGAACCCTAGACATTAGATAACAGAACAGCCCAAGATTGCCAAGAAGAGAATTGGAAACACAACAATGAAGTTTCTGTAAAGCAAAGGACACTGTCACCAAGACAAAAAGGCAACCCACTGACTGGGAGAAGATCTTCACCAACCCTGCAACAGACAAAGGTCTGATCTACAAAATATATAAAGAACTCAAGAGACTAGACTTGAGAATGCTAATTAACTCAATTAAAAAATGGGGCACTGAACTGAACAGAGAATTCTCAACAGAAGAAGTTCAAATGGCCAAAAGACATTTAAGGTCATGCTCAACTTCCTTAGCGATCAGGGAAATGCAAATCAAAACAACTGTGAGATATCATCTTACACCTGTCAGAATGGCTAAAATCAAAAACACCAATGATAGCCTATGCTGGAGAGGATGTGGAGTAAGGGGGACACTCATCCATTGTTGGTGGGAATGCAAACTTCTGCAACCACTTTGAAAATTAGTTTGGCAGTTTCTCAGGAAACTGGGAGTCAACCTACCTTAGGACCCAGCAATTCCACTCTTGGGAATATACCCAAGAGATTCCCAATCATACTACAAAAGCATTTGTTCAACTATATTCATAGCAGCATTATTTGTAATAGCCAGACCCTGGAAACAACCTAGGTGCCCCTCAATAGAAGAATGAATAAAGAAGGTGTGGCACATATACACTCTAGAGTTCTACTCAACGGTAAAAAACAACGACATCTTGAATTTTGCATGCAAATGGATGGAAATAGAAAACACTATCCTGAGTGAGGTAACCCAGATCCAAAAAAATGAATATGGTATGTACTCACTCATAAGTGGATTCTAGCCATAAATAAAGCACATTGAGCCTATAATTCATGATTCTAGAGAAGCTAAATAAGAAGGTGAACCCAAAGAAAAATATATAGTTATCCTCCTGGATATTGGAAGTGGACAGATTGCCGGACAGGGGTTGGGAGCATGGAGGATTGGGTGGGGTTGGGATAAGGACAGATGGGGAGAGAGAACGAAGAAGGGAAAGGTGGGAAGAGCTTGAGGGAATGGAATGGTTGGGATGGAGGAGGGGTGGATGAGGGAACAGAAAAGTAGACATCTTAAGAGAGCCATTTTAAGGTTAGCAAGAGATTTGACTCTGGAGGGGTTCCCAGGTGTTCAAGGAGATGCTCCCAGCTTGTTCCTTGGGGAGCAGAGGAGAGTGAAGGCATAAGTCACAAACAATGCCACACCAATTCGGGGTTATGATTATTAGGGTGGTATTTATTTAAAGGGGAAAAAACTTACAGATCACTGTCCCAGGCAACAGCCCTCTATGCAACCAGGAAAGGAGTCTAGTCGCTGGCGGAGCAGGAAGTGAAGAGAGAGAGGAGAGGGAAGTGGCCGCTTTTTTAAAGGGAGAGAAACCACGCCCCAATGGGCTGGTACCTCAGCGGTGATAGGCTGGAGGAGTGGGAGGACCTCCCGCAATACTGCTCCACTTCCCTAAGGGATTTTCCTAGCAAAGAGGTCCATTGTTTCTCTGCTCCACTATGCAAACTACATTTGAAAGTAGAGATTCTACTCCACCCCAGGGAAAAAAGGTCTTCACCCCAAAGCTATTTTAAGACATATATTTGGGAAGGAGGAATCCAGGAGAGTGGCGGCACTGCCAGCATAAAGAAGGGCAGCAGCCAACTGAACAGGCACAGGGCCTATGTAGAATTTCTTAAAGGCAGAGTTTTCCAAGGAGATAGAGAACTGGTCAGATTTTGATCCCCTTAAGCTTGGACAAACTCAGATTGACTAGTTTTTGTGCCCATGTATTGGTTGGTTTTCTGTTCTGAGATTGGTTGGTTTTCCTGCTCAGGAATTGGTTGATTTTATGCTCAGTTTGTCAGGATCAGATTTGACTCTAGTTTCAGGGCCAAAGTGTATTTCTTTCACTGATCCGTTTTGGTCTTATGGCTCTACTTTCAGGGATACAGTGGGTTTCTTTCACTACTCTGTTTCCAGGACCAAAGTGTGTTTATTTGGCTCTGTTTTTAGGCTCAGAGTAAAATTCTTTGGTTTTTGTTTCAGGGCAAAGGTGCATTTTTAGGAGAGATGGCTCAGTGGTTAAGAGCATTGCCTGCCCTTCCAAAGGTCCTGAGTTCAATTCCTGGCAACCACATGGTGGCTCACAACCATCTGTAATGAGGTCCGGTGCCCTCTTCTGGCCTTCAGACATACACACAGACAGAATATTGTATACATAATAAATAAATAAATATTTAAAAAAATAAAAACTGGTTCTTTGTTAATTGCTAGGATGTGTTCCTTTCTCTGGCTCTGGTTTCAGGGCCATGTTGGGTTCTGGTATCAGGTTCCAGGTGTGTTTCTTTCACTGACCTTTGAATTCAGGGTCAGGGTGGATTTCTATGGCTGAACATTTTACCTTACAGCCACATGCACATGGAACATTACAAAAGCGTAGCAATTGTCAGTAAAAACATTAATCCTTTTCATTTTTTCAGGGTTAGTGCCAAGATCAATGTAATCATTTCTGTCTTTTGGATGGAAGTGCCCACAAGAGGACTTCGGTCCATAGTGTCTTTCTCAAAATTATTACAGCAGTCTCTGCCAACTTCTGTCCTGGGACATCAGTCAGGTTGTCCCTAATGTTCTGGAAGCTGGATACTATATATCTATCATACAGTCATGAAGGGACTCTTACACACTGTCAGGTAGCATGGAGAATGGATTGAGTATGGACGGTTGGGAAAAGGTTATTTTAGGTCAGTTTAGCAGTAAAGCCTGATAGTGAGTGAGACAAGCACTTGTTACCCATCTGTCAGGAGCTGGGGTGCGGATTCCTCAGGAGACTCCCCACTGCATGTGGGGACATGATGGTAAGCTTCAGTCCCAGATTTAATTTATCAGAGTCCGTAGTAAGCAGGGCCATTGTCACCATAATCTTCAAACAGCGCCAGTGGGGGAGAGAACTGAGTCTCTGAGTTCCCTATTTATTGAATACACTCACAAGGAAGAGAGAGGGAGACTTCCCCAAAGTAAGTTAAGATAGGAGTCTAAGATTTTCGAGGGAAAACAGTAGGGATTCCCTCCAATTAACTTCACAGGTGGAACTGGAGCTTCTTTGGGGGTTATCTTCCAAGATGACCACCCAAAAGGCCACTATATAAGGCATTTGGTCAGGGTTGTCTGGGCTGCCAAAAACTACTGTGAGGACTGTAAGAGAACTAGAGGTTAAGGGTGCCCTTGGGAGGTCAGTTGACTCCTACAGTCAGTCACTGGAGGTGACAGACCACGTGGAGTTTTCTGTGGAAGACAGAATTTCCCTATTTCTGGGCTTTCTTCTTAAAGTCTTAAAAGTACTGTAAGAATTTTGGTCTAGGGGAGAATTTTGGGCCAAAGATGGAGCTTGTCCCATGATCTTGAAGTAAGAGTGGATACCAATAGTGAGTATACAAAGTGAAATAAAGAGTCTGACTTGACAGAGACAGAGAGACCACAGTGACACAGATGGAGTCCAGGGAGACAAGGGTTTTATTAGAACATGGTTCTGTTCAGACCTAGGTGAATCAGTCGCCTTTTTGACTGAATTCCAGAAACCAGATGTCCCAGTTACTCTCAACTACTGGAGGACAAAGGAGGGGATGAGAAGACTCTGTTCTCCATCTGACCTCATCCAGTCTCTTCTCTCTTGGGTCCTAGTAGAAGATGCCACAGACCACAAAACCTCCAGTGCTTACCTCTCAAGATTACTACATGGGTCTACAGCAGTCAATTGAGCCAAAGACTTAAACCAGTGGACTATAAGTTAAAAGACAAGGCCCCAAATGTTAGGGTCTGTAAATCTGAAAATAATTCACCAGAAAGGGCAGGGTTTGCACAGTCCAAAAATTTATTTAAAATCTGACATATAAGAGAGGTGTGTGGTTTCAGCACCCATAAAATGTACCCAATACAGTGGCAGCAGTAAATTTTAATGGGGAAAAACCAGAAAGAGATGGTTCCTGAATACTATCCAATCATAACTTAATACTGGAAGAAACTGTTTGGGACCGTACTTAGTAGCATGCTTTTAGTTTATCAGGAAGGCCTGTAGTTTGTGTTTGTGACTTGGTGTTGGAACAAATCAACCAGAAAGGGATGGAATATTTGTGGTTTAGCCTGATTATATACACCTGTGCCAGGGAGTTTGCAATTGCAGCTCAGCCTCAGGAAATAGTAAATAAAGCTTAGAGCAGACTGACCAGGGACAAAACAGACTTCATGCTGCTAACTAGGATCTAACAATACTACCGCCTTTTCTCATTACCTCAGGTTTATTTGTTCTTTATGAAAGCTACAACAGACTCACCCTATTTATCTCACAGAACCATTACCTCTAAAGTTAGAGCCCTCAGTCTAGAATGATCATCCTTTTTGTTCAACATAGGCCTCCAATAATATAATTTCTAAGTGGGGTCCAACCTGAACCATGTGTCCATTTTTGTGCCTGGGGATCTTAGCAACAAGAGGTGTGACAAGAGGAAAGGGATATAGGTAGACAGGCACAAAAGTTGTCAGTCATTCCTGCTGCTAACATCATGTTTTCTAAATTTGTAGGCTGAAAAAATCCTGCAGATATTTTTGCAGTTAAAGGAAGAAGTGAGTGATGCCATTCTACAGACAGACCAGACTCTGACAAAAAGGGAAAAGGAGATTGAAGGTAAGGCACAAGATAAAGGACTACATGCCTCAAAAGCTCTGGAATGTTTAGATTAGTAGTAAAACTAGGATCTTGAAGCAGACCTAAAATAACAAAGCTATGTCTCAATGGCTAGTATCAAACATGATAGTACTATGATGTCAGCAGCAACAATGAAGCAGGTGAGAAAGAGAGCATCACATGCTGCATTTACATCTTCCTTCTTGATTGCCTTCCCAGTGGAGCATGTGAGAGCTGAAGCCACCAAGGCTGCAGCAAAAATGCAGGAGGAAATGCAACAGAAGTATGAACAGTTGCTGCAAGTGAAAGAGAAGAGTCATGAGAAGGAGATGAAAGAGCTGACTGAAAAGATGGAGAAGGAACAGGCCGAGATGAGAGAAATGCAACAGAAGTATGAACAGTTGCTGCAAAATGAATATAAGAGTCAAGAGAAGGAGTTGAAAGGTCTGACTGAGAAGATGGAGAAGGAACAGTCTGAGACTAGAGAAATGCAACATTATTATGAACAGTTTCTGCAAGATAAAGATAAGAGTTGTGAGAATGGGCTGAAAGAGCTGACTGAGAAGATGGAGAAGGAACAGGCTGAGATTAGAGAAATGCAAGAGAAGTATGAACAGTTGCTGCAACAGAAAAAGAAGAATATTGAGGAGTTCATGAAATATGTTATTGGGATGCTAGAACAGCATAAGGTTCAGAAGTTAGAGTAGCAAACAAAAAAGGTACTTAAATTGCATTACTTCCAATATTCTTTTCATTTAAAAATTCGTTAAAGTGTCTGTGTGTGTTTTTGTGTGTGTGTTTGTCTGTGCACATAATATATGTAAAGGGCGAAAGAGGAAGTCATATCCCCTAACTTAGTGTTATAGGTGTTTGTGGTTCACCTATCATGGATGCTTGGAACGGAATTCCAGTCTGTAACATACTTTTTACTGCTGAGCTATCTATCCAGACTCCTGTTTTTTTTTTCTGTTCATCAAAAAAATGTATTGAAGCCTAAATGCTGAACAAGCCTGACCTCATGGGCTGTTAATTCCTAAATATCTGGTTGATTGTCTGTTGCCCATGTCTGGTGATGAAGTGATCAATAAGTAATGGCATAACACTAAGTCATTTAGGAATATATATATATATATTATGGCAGCTATGCTCTTTGTGTTATATCTTTATTTCTTTCTTAAGACTCTATGAACCAGGAACTATATTCCTATTATGTAGAATAAAGAAGCACAGGTTCACTTAAGATTAAACATATACAATCTAAGTACTTTTGGTAATAGAGGCAGGAGGATCAAAAAGTCAAAATCATCCTCAGTAAATAGGGAATTCAAAATCCACCAGGGCAATAGCCCATGCCTCAAAAATCACTATATATAAAATACATAAACAGATTAGGCTGTTTTTCCCATAGTGGGATCTGCAAAGATAGGTTTTTCCATCTCACCTGGTATGAGTTTATTCCTAAGAGAGAGTTCATGAGGAAAGAAACTCCTCCATGCTCACAACTACATGAGTGTCTGTCTGTCCTTTTTTTATCTTATACTTTCTTCTCAATTTCTGTACAGTTGTTGCCACATCCATGGCTGTCTCGCCTGTGTGACAAAATGCCTCTCAGGTGGTGGCCATCTCAAAATGAAGGGCTCGTGCTTCCTGGAGCTTGGCCCCCGGTGGCTCCCTGGCAGTCTGCTCGAGTTGAGGTTCCTGATCAGCCTCAATGACCTCGTTCACTTTGTTCGTGGCGATGGTTTCATGCATTGGCTCTGCTATCTTTTTCTTTTGTCCTATTTTTCTCTTGACAAAAACTTAATCTGTTCCAGGAACCAGGAAACATTCCCAATGGCTCCTTGAATACGGAGGAACTGATGCATCAGTTCCCTCCCTTGACTCAAGTCATTAATGTTATGATTAAGACTCCAGCTCCCTCTCTGGGGGAATTTATGAATACCCTAGAACAGAAAGGGCTCATGATAGGAGATTTGGGAGAAGATGGGTGAATTATGAAGGAAAATATATGGAATGGCATGGAGAGGCTAGCCAGAATGAGAAACCCCTGGTGCATTTTAGATGGGAAAAAAAGGCAGGCTATTCTTGATAACATGTAGCCAGCCGTTCAATATTGGAGCAAACCCTGGGGGTGGAATCCTGAAGAATGGTGTTTGGGTTACCTTGGTTACCTTGAGGGCAGATATGATTTAGGGCCATGAGAAAGCACAGTTGGTTAGTGGTGTAAGACGAATTTCAAAGAAAATCTCTGCCCACCTGGCCCTGACCACAAGACTTGCTGAGAATAATCAACTGCCTGTAATCATTTTTCTATGTAAGCTTTTATTTCTGCCAACTTCCTTCTGTAATCTCATAAAAATGATGCTTGAATTTTAGTAAAATTGCAGCAGATTCAATTCTCATTAGAGTTGTGTCTGTCTGTCATAAGCCGAATCCTGGGTTCTCCTAAGCCTTCACCCCGTTCTCCCTCGGTCTTTGATCTCCAAGAGAGTCAGCCTGCGACAAGTTGTGAGATAGAGATAGAATTCATTTTCTTCAAAATGGGACACTAATTTTCTTATCAATTATCTGTCACCCTTCTACCAATTTTTGGAAGTTTTCACAAAATTTCTCCTTCCCACCCTCCTCTCTCTTTTTCTTTCTCTGATTGCACACATTTGTGTGCATGTTTGTGCTTCTTCATCTGTGCACATGTATGTGAAGGTGAGAGAACTACCTCCAATATCCTTCATCATCTTAGACTGTATTTTTTGAAATGATCTCTTACTGAACTTTAAACTCACTGGTGGGGCTAATCTTGCTGGTCACTGACCACTAAGTTTCAAGGATTTGCCTACATCTGCATTTCATGCCTGGTATTACAGAGCAGTACTATATATAGCTCTTACATAAATACTGTGGGTTCTAGCAGGCATATTCCTGACTCAGCCATGCCCCCACCCCAGACTCAATTTCTTACATTAAGATTCAGAGCCTTAGTTAGACATTCAGAATTCATTCCTGTGCTGTATGTTTATACAAGGTTTGAGTATGGAGATGATTAAAGTCTATAATGATAAAATTTCAAGACAAGTGATTAAGATTAGAGAGGTTATAGACAACTGATGAACAGAAAATCGATACTGGTAATGAAAGTTCATCAGTGAAACTGTTTCCTAGCTAAAGGAATCCCTAAGAAATGTGACCACAGCTGCCAAAGAAAAGGCATAATTTGAGGAGAAGGCTAAAAAATTCCAAAAAGGAAAAGCAAAAGCAAACCTCTAAACATTAAATTTTACTCATGAATAAAAACATTTTTAAATTATAATAAAAATTAGGTCTTGAGAAAATTTTAAGAAATTAGTAAGAAAAATTATTAAAATTGCATAAAACATAACAATCAAGTCAGTGTAATGATTCATTGTCTTTACTCGTTACTTTTCAGAAATATACAGAACTATGGGAGATATATAAAAGAATGCAAAATGAAAGGCAAAACACAGGCACATGTGTCATAAGCTGAAGGCCTAAAGAGTGATATCATTCTGCCATTCAAAGCAGAGCTGAATTGGGAATGAGAGTCACTTGAGTTGAAAAATAAACTACCAATATGCAAAGATGTTCAGTGTGATAATTGAAATCAGGTTTGTCTTTAAATATTATTGTGCACCAAGGATGCCAGTGCTGTCTTTACCACAAGAGAGGTGCCAACATCATTACTCAGGAGAAAGTTCCTTACCCAGACGATACTGAGGATATGAATTGACACATCACATTTTTAAATATTGGCACATAATTAGGAATAATGATTTCCACAGATGTGATGAGTCTGAAGGGCAGGAATAGTCAGTCTCATTTTCTACAATGTAGAGTTCTCCATTCTATAAAAACTGTTCAAACATTCACCAAGAGCATGATTTGTGGACACTGGTAATGTATAACTTTATGAACACATTCCATTGTAAATCAAGACAGATGCATGGAGATCAGAGTCCCCATATATAATATCCACAGGAAGATGAAAGAAGACATTGGCAGGACAAGGAGCTGAATCCCAGGTCTATGGCCTGAAGAAGGGAATATTTAAGTTCACGCATATTGAAAGTTTAATCAGACATTTCTAAACTTGAACAGATGACACTGGCTACATAATAACATGATGACAATTTAGGATTATGTAGATCAGTACCTTTAAAGATGGAATTTTATGATGGCCAGTGCTTTATAGATATCAAAAGTTTTTTAAATGATTTATCTGTAACCATAAACTTACATTATTCTTTTCCTATTATTACCTGCTATTTTTGAAATCCTGGTGATTTTTCCCCAAGCATAATAAAGATTATTTTTCCATATTTTTTGACCAGCTCTTAGTACTATGGACTATATATAAACTTTATCCCAACTACCAGAACCACAAACTAAGTGTTTAACAGCTTTTAAAGGGATTGAGAACTTTTGTTGGGTTTGGTTCAGTTGGCAAAATACTTGCTGTACCAACATAAGCATGTAAATTCAGATCACAATACCCACAAAACAAACTTGACATTGTAGTACATACCTATAAGCCTAGCACTGAAGTTGGGGAAGGGTAGATAGGAAGATCCTTAAGGTCTATTAGCTAGTCAGCCTAGTCAACAGATGGGCCATGGGTTGACTGAGTGACCCTGTTTCAAAAGTAACACAGAGAACAATTGAGAACACAGTCATCTTGTTTCCTGGAAGTAGATGTGACCAGAAATAATTATATTATACATATTAAAAGTCTCAGAAAACAAATGCATGTTTTCTTTGATATACACATCCTGCCTGTTTATAGAGGCCTAAATTTATGTATGTATAATGATACAGAAGATAAACTGAAACTATTCAGAGAAACAATGGGGACTATGGAAGGAAGAGGATGAGGAGAAGGGGAGGAATACTGGGGCATGCTAAATAACAAGATATGATTATATGAAAACATTCTCCTATGATACAATGCTGGGAGCCGATTTGAATAGTTGCCATTACAAGATGGCATTTGGCCCCAGCCTCGCTTGATAGATAACTCCATATTAGGGTTGCAGTTCTTCCACCGGAAAACAGGGTGAGTTGTTGTGATCTAGCTGCCCACACTTCCCCTGACCGGCAGGGGAACATCCTGGTCTGTAATTGACAGGGATGTTCCCCTGCTTTCTTTCCTGCCGGTGGGTCTCCAGAAAAATAGTTAAAGTATCAAAGTATCAAAAGTTGCTAGGCAGACTCCCTATATAAGCAGCTATAGTTCAGAGCCACTTGCCCCTTACTTTCTGCTCTCCCTACAACCAAGAGGCTCCAATAAAGCGTGATTTGAGAAGAATCCTCGTCTGGTGGCTGTTCCTTCCTGCTGGTCAGGGAGCTCGCCGCAATACAACACCATGTGTAATGAGTATATGCAATGAATATCATAAAAACCATTTGTGATCAACAAAGGAAAAATTTAAAATATTCATTCTAACAACTCCATCTAAATAACTTAACAATTCAAATAAATTAACTAATTGGTTGCTACAGAATACCTGGAAAAAGCAATTGAATGAAGGAATGATTTATTTTGGCTTATGCTCTGACATGACTGTCCATCAGAGCAGGGAAATCATGGTGGCAGGAGTATGAGGAAGCTGGTAATTTTGTATCCACAGAGAGGAGATAGAGAGATGTACCCTGGTGGTACAATCAATTTCTTCTTTTTATTTAGCTATAAACT